ATGGATATTTTCACTTTCCCACCACTCTTGGGAAGAGATGGAAAAAAAACCAAGTAAATGTCTCTCATTTTTCTTTTTATACTCGGTGCCCTCAACCCAACCACATTTCACAGCACATCTGATTATACTGACCTTCCTGGTGCCACAGATGACAAAGGACTGTCATTTGTGATGCACTTTTCTTTGCAAGTATTGCCAGGTTGAACATAATTTTCCCCTTACCTCACAGATTCTTCCTATGGATGTTTTTGAATATAATCTTACCATAACCATTTCTAAATGGCATCTTATGATCTTGTGTATGGAACTCTGAATGATATAAAGTAGTGTGGTAGGGTTGGAAGAGCAGTGAGCCAAGAGGGAGAAGATGGTTAATGACAGTGTTTGTAGTATAGCTGCTTAAATATTCTGGGCATTATTTCCATTCTTTTTTTTTTTCATTTGAACAGTAAAAATGGTTGGACGTTCTGTTCCCCTTAAAGTTCTAAATGGTAACCACCAAGTATTTCAATACCGTAGACACTATCCACCAGGGAGAGGTGACTGAGGAAAAAGTACATGGGAGTGTGGAGTCGAGAATCCAGCAGAATCAACACAATCATCCCGAAGTTCCCAGCCATTGTGATCAAATAAATGAGAGTGAAGACTATAAATAAAGGGACTTGCAGTTCAGTGGCGTCTGTTAACCCCACAAGAATAAATTCTGTCACCTCTGAAATATTTTCCATCAAAGTCAGTTGGGAAGGCTCATGACAGACACCTGGGACAAGAAGAGAGAATGAAAACCTTATGCTATTTTAATATCAACATGAAGCATGTAGAATGTCCATAATCTCTTACACATTGTTTATCTTTTTTTCTAGTGTAGGAGACTGTGTGGGAGATGATGGACTACATCCTGGGCGGTGCAGGGAATTTTTCCATATGGAACTGATACAGATGGACACTGACCCTTCTTTGCTGATAGTGGATACTTCAGGTGGCCCACATGATAAATATGGGCTCAATTCCACTTCTTTGATATGGGGTATTTTATACTACACTGAAGTATATAGTATTCATTATTACTACATGAAATATTACAATATCTGGACATATTTTTGTATAAGCTACATAGTATTGTTTAATCAACTTAGAGCTCTGTGGAGAACATGTGGCCGTGCTTTGGTGTATAATTATGACAAATCCAGGCAAATGAATTTCATATCTATGTTACTTAATGATATACAGTGACCTAGGAATCTGATCTAAACATACTCTACTTTTTTCTCTAATTCATAAGAGCCCTTAGTTGGATCTTTACCTTTAAATATTAGCATTGAGTGGAAAATGCATGTTCTGTGAGGACACATTCTTAGTATTTTCTTCACATATGTTTGTAGGTCTCAGAGTAGGAATAATTTTTCAAAACTGACAAGCAAAGCTATACTTGCTTTCTCTTTATGAAACAGTCATTCTTTTTTACATAAATGGATATTTTCACTTTCCCACCACTCTTGGGAAGAGACGGAAAAAAACCAAGTAAATGTCTCTCATTTTTCTTTTTATACTCGGTGCCCTCAACCCAACCACATTTCACAGCACATCTGGTTATACTGACCTTCCTGGTGCCACAGATGACAAAGGACTGTCATTTGTGATGCACTTTTCTTTGCAAGTATTGCCAGGTTGAACATAATTTTCCCCTTACCTCACAGATTCTTCCTATGGATGTTTTTGAATATAATCTTACCATAACCATTTCTAAATGGCATCTTATGATCTTGTGTATGGAACTCTGAATGATATAAAGTAGTGTGGTAGGGTTGGAAGAGCAGTGAGCCAAGAGGGAGAAGATGGTTAATGACAGTGTTTGTAGTATAGATGCTTAAATCTTCTGGGCATTATTTCCATTCTTTTTTTTTCATTTGAACAGTAAAAATGGTTGAACGTTCTGTTCCCCTTAAAGTTCTAAATGGTAACCACCAAGTATTTCAATACTTACTCTTGTCCGAGGAACAAACAAATAAGAGAACAAATGAGAAATATGAGAAGATTCATGTCCAGAGTATTGACCCAATGTCCATATCCAGGAATGCATTGTGCAGGAGACTTTCCTTTCTGACCTCTGACCTGTGGATCTTGACTGTGTAACAGAACTGTAGCTTGTTCACTTGTCAGTATCAAGATACAGATAACAAGCTCTGCAAAGTCTCAGGGGGAAGCAATGCAAAGCTGTGGATGCCTCTAGAGACTTGTGATCCCACATTGGCCCTTCAATCTGAGCTGGATGGAGACAGCAGAGGAAAGTGTTTGCATTTGGATGGAAAGTGTCTAGGAGGACTTGGGGGAATAGACACTTAGAGAAAAAATCCTCTAATCATCAATTCAGCTGCAACACAGCCAGGTTAGGCAAGAAAAATAAAAGTCCTGCTGGAATCTCAGGGTTAGGCCCTCATCCAGCTGTGTCTCAGGCATGGTTCCAGGGCATTGTTTATTCTTTCTAGTTTTTATTTAATAAAATAACCACTCTCTTAATCCTGCATATCTGTTCTGGGATTTTTCTCACTCATTACCTTTTGAAATTTATCAATGTAGTAACTTTGTATGCTTATTAATATATGAGGGATGAGACATTTTGATAAATAAAGACATTATGTACTGGTTGTTATGTTAGGGCCATTAACACACCTTTATGTTGAACATGTATCTTTTCCTTGTGAGAACATTTAAAGCCCTACTAGGGCTAGCCCTAGGGTTCTAGTTATTTAAAATATAAATATATTTAAAATATGATTCTTTTCACTAAATCATCTTATTGTGCAATATAGTTAAGTTCTTTCTTCTTTCTAAAATCAATGATATGAGTCTATTTATTTGTCTACATAGTTACATCTGATTAGAATACCCGTAGTAGAACTCCTCCTTTTTTTTTTATCAGTGTATAGCTATGAGTTTTAGCTGTGTAGCCATGGGGTTTACTTTCAAATTCTGCTCCTGCTACAGTGTCAGTGAGTGACTTATTTAATATCTCCATGTTTCAGTGTAATACTTATGAATTAAAAGTGCTAAGTAGAGGGACCACACCCATGGACATCTGGGCATCCCTAATAGTACTTAATAGCTTATTGAAAAATTAAAATGGAGAGGGTGGGCTCCGACCTCCATCAGTGTAGCAGCTGTGATCTCAGCATACTGCCTGAGAGTGCCGGGTTCTGGCCTCCCTCTGGCACATGGGGTGAGAACACAGGGGACTGCCTGAGAGTGCCTGGATCCTGCTTTCATGGTGAAGCCTTTGAAAGGGAACTGACACTGATTCTAACTACTCCAATAGCTACCAAAATACCTGAAAGCAAATCCTGTATCCATCACTCTCGCGTACAGCCATGGCAGACAAAATAAAAGTGAGGAGGAACCCAATAGAGGGGTGCTTTTGGAAATTTTTGTCAAGAAATCCCAAGGGACTCTGATATGAGCATTTCAATTTTCCCTGTTCTGACTTTTTTCTGGTCCTCCATCTAGAACTTGTAATGCTAACTACTCTTGCCTTTATTTCTCCTTCACATCCCCTATTCACCAGTCAAGGACTTTCTTTTCTTCCTAGAGATGAGTCATGAAATTTGGGAGTATTTTCGATAGACCCACTGAAGGGGTACCCCAATTGCCTCATCCTACATCCCCGTTCAGCACCGAAGAAGCCAGAGTGCTCTGCTTCTGATTCCCTATCATCAATTTGGGAAACCTCTTCAGAGGATGGTATGATAAGAGTAGGAGGTAGGAATTGGCTAGGCAGTTACAGTAAAAAAGACCCCAAAGAAAAGTAGCCATTTTCTTGGCTAAAAGTCAAAATGTCCTTGCGTCTCTTAGAAACATACTCTGTTCCAAAGGCCAAAAATGACAAAAGTATTTGGGAGTTCTTATGCCTCTTAGGAACATACTCCGTTCCAAAGGCCAAAAATGACAAAAGTATTTGGGAGTTCTTATCTAATCCTTAAAAGATTTTAGGGTTATCTCTTCAGAGAGGTAATTTTAGAGTAGTAAAAAGCCCTAGAAAGAAAGAAAGAGTACACAAATTTGTCAGAAAAAAAGTGATGGGGAGATATGGGAGGTGTTGGAGGGGAGGGAGTAGGCATGGATTTGATCAAAACACCTTATATGCATGAATGAAATTCTCAATAAAGTTTATTTAAAAAAAGAAAATTAAAAAAGAAGTACATTAATTTCAGAAGGGGACATGATGGGGAGGATCTGGAGAAAGTTGCAGGAGGAAATGGGGTTTGAAGACTATTGTATACTTGTATGAAATTCTCAAAAAATAAATTTAAATGAAAAATATTTCTTTATTATTTTATGTGTGTGAGTGTTTTTCCTGCATGTATGTAAGTTCATCACATGTGTGCAATGCC